GACATTTTGTTTCTATGAGCTGAGGGAGGAGTACAGTGAGTCAACTGTGGGGTAGAGATGCCTTAATTTTAAAGTAGATTTGTGGTTTTGCCTATCAGATGGTTCTGGATATTTTACTGCCTGTACAGAGACTATTACTAAAAAAGGATAGGGAAAATTTAGCCCCACTAGATAAAATTAATAAACAATAGGGACCAAACATGCTGTTTTACATCCCAAGAATGAGTTGTGTTTGATGCTCTTTTGTACAATGCAGCATTCAGTGTTGGTTTTGAATAATTAAATACATCAAACTTCTTAGAAGAGTGATGCATACTTTGAAGTCTATCACAGGAACAAACTTACAGGATCTATATTTTCAAAATTTAAGGGCCATGGAAGCTTCTCAAAAGTTCAAATATTGAACTCATTAAATATTGTATAAAGAAAATATTAGTCTGACTGACTTGTCACTAATAGAATTGAATTAAATATGTCAATCAGTAATGCCTAGGAGAACTCGTTTGTTTTCCATTTCTAATGCAACTTTTATCCAGTGTTAATAAAACCCATCCTCTTCATCTCCAGTAGCATCACACTCTTTCTCATGTTTGGGTCCTAGCTTTGTATAATTACAGTAACATTAGTGGCTGAGCATGTATCACATCTGATATTTCAATTAGACATGAAGTTGAATCTAGCTATTATAAATACTTCATAATGATAACCTCTTTTCCATTAGTGTTTTGGGATTATCTGTCGTCGTGGGGACTTATTTTATTTAAGCGAAGTCATAGCAACATTAACACAGTGTTTCATTTCTAAGAAACATCTGCATCTTCTCATTGGCAATTACTGTTGGCTCCTTATTTATTTATCATTTTTAATTTTCCCAGAGGATGTCCCAGGGCAGTTCCTCTCTATTTTTCTGATGATAAATCTCAATACTTCAGCAACCACATATGTAAGCATGTGAGTTGCATCTTTGATTTATATATTTCTGATCATTGTATATTTCTGATGTTTGTTCAGTTGACATTTTCCTTAATTTGGGAAATCAGGAAATGAATTCCTGCTGCTTTTCTTGTTAACATAATTTGCTATTATTTTGAAACTGACTTGGAAAGACATTTTCTTTTTTTGTTACTATTGTGCACCATTGTCTCTAAGTTGATTAGATTCTCTGCATTTGCACAGAAAAGGCAAAGCATGTAAGTCTTCACATTTCTTGAAATGTAGGAAAGCAAGGGACGCAAAGGTTCAAGGAAAGCGTAAAATGGAAAGCAGGGCTCACTCCAGGGCAGGTTAGATTTACAACTGTAAGAAAAGATGATCACTGAAAAAGGATGGGGGATCTTGAATACTCAAAGATACTGATTGTAGGTTTGGAAGATGATTTCAGGAAACTTCATCTGAATTGTGAAAATTTTCTACGAATGGTCATGATTTTAGAATTGTCTTCACTGCAATCAATTTTAATGTAATAAGTAGAAGACTTGTTTCAAAAGAATGTAACACTTTTATGGAGCTGAAAAGGAGACTTTAGGTGAGTTAAAATTGCTGAAGTGAAACAGGCCAGCAGAATTTGTAGCTGGAAGGGCCCGATTCACAGTCCCTCTCTGGGGGCATGATGGATAGTGTATGGGGGAGAGCCTTGTGACTAGCATAACCCGACAAGAGCTGGCCAGGTCACTTCATCTCTCTAGGTCTTGGTGGCACCAGATAAAAAAGGAGACATTTAGTTGAAATAAACATTAAGGTCCCTTTCAGCATTTAAATTTAAGAAAAGTGCTTTTTGGTGTTTTGTAAGAAGAAATTGAAGATACTTATTGAAGATGATGTCATACATTTATGAGACGAGCTGTTAGAACTCTGAGAATATAAGGAGCCTGTTTGAAGAACATGTGCACGGTGGCACTGACCATGTAAATCACTGGTTTCTTACTGCTCTTACCAGGTGTGGATGTTGGTCAAGCCTACATCCTGGCATAATCTCACTTCTCATCATGAAAATGGAGCACCTCATAGTACTGCCAAACTGTGCAATGTGAGGGGATTCAAGCTTTGCACAAATTCCTCTGTGGAAACAATTTCATGTTCAGTCTAAAAATGTGGACTTAATTATTCATACTTAATTTTAAATTCTTGTGTGTCTATGTGTGTTTGCAGAAGACCAACAAGTAAATTTTACTCCACACCTATTAGAATGACTAAAATTAAAAAATACTGACAATACAAAATGCAGGAAACAATATGCAACAATAGAAACTCTCATTCATTGCGGGTTGGAATGCAAAATGGTAGTCACTTTGGAAGACAGTCTGGCAGTTTCCTGCAAAATTAGATATAGTCTTTTCAATACAATCTGTAATCACACAGTTTGAAGTTTACGTGCATGAATTGAAAACTATATCCATATCCCAAAATCTTCACAAAGTCTATATGTTGATTTGAAAGGCAGAGAGACAGAGACAGAGAGAGAGAGAGAGAGAGAGAGATTGATTTCCCATCTACTGGTTCACTGAGCTGGGCCAGGCCAAAACCAGGAGCCAGGAACTCAATTCATGTCTCCCACGTGGAGAACAGGCACACAGCTGTTGGAGTCATCATCTGTAGTCTCCCAGGGTGCACATTATCAGAAAGCTGGAATCAGAAGTGGATCCAGGCACTCCTATTGAGATGTAGCTCTCCTCAATGGTGTCTTCACTGCTGTACCTAACTCTCACTTCCACATGGGGTTTATAGAAGTTTTATTCATAATTGCCCAAACTTGGAAACAATTAATATGTCCTTCATTAGGTACTCTAAGACATCTCAACAATGAAATATTGTTCAGTGCTAAAAAGAAGTGAGGAGCAGGCATTTGGCTTAGTGGTTAAGATGCTGATTGAAATCCCTGTGTCCTGGGTCGCAGCACTTGTTCAATTCCCAGTTCTGCCTCCTGACTTCAGCTAATGCAGATCCTCAGAGACAGCAGGTGAGCTCAGTGATTGGGTCTGGCACTCATGTGGGAGATTTGGGCTGAGTTTTTAGCTCCTAACTCTAGCCTGGCCCTGCCCTGTTCATTGAGGAATTCTCAGCTCTGGGCCAGCAGATGGGACCTCGTTCTCTTTCTCTCTCTCTCTCTCCTTCTCAAATAAATAAATAATTTTTTAAAAAATTTTTGACAGGCAGAGTTAGACAGTGAGAGAGAGAGAGAGACAGAGAGAAAGGTCTTCCTTCCATTGGTTCACCCCCCAAATGGCCGCTACGGCCGGCGCGCTGCACCGATCTGAAGCCAGGAGCCAGGTGCTTCCTCCTGGTCTCCCATGCAGGTGCAGGGCCCAAGTACTTGGGCCATCTTCCACTGCTTTCCTGGGCCACAGCAGAGAGCTGGACTGGAAGAGGAGCAACCAGGACAGAATCCGGTGCCCCAACTGGGACTAGAACCCGGGGTGCTGGCGCCGCATTGCGGAAGATTAGCCTAGTGTGCCACAGCGTCAGCCCACACATTTTTGTTACCTTTAATCTACAGTGAGTTTCTAGTATGTGTCAGTGTTTCATATTAACAGTTTTGATGTAGATCTTATAGTTTCAATGCATTCAGTAATTCCCTCAGGATTAACACCCATTTAAACATTTCTGACAGGAATATCACATTGGTAATATCTTTTCCTCACATCACATTTTGTCACAGGCACTATCACCTGCCTTTACATTTTTGTTTTCTTGCTTGTTTATCTTCTATCTCCTGTTAGAATAGGAACTCATGGGAGCTCTGTGAGTCTTTTGTTCAGTCCTGTACCCACAAATCTCCAATATTTGGTAAATATTGGTCAAATGGGTGAATGAACCCACAGCCCACCAGAATGATCTCAAATAACACAGAATGTCTGACCCTCAGCACTTGCCATCAGACAATGCCACACATCAGATCTGCTGACTCTACACTGTATTCAGAGAAGGCGGAGGGGTCCCAGAATGAGAGACTGTCTCAGAATTTGGGGTATCCATCCATAAAACCATTTGTGATCAGATGTCTGCACATATATGTTTATATCTTACATAAGACATGTTACTGTTCTTATACATTAGGTATATCCTGAGTATATACGGAAAAGTTATTTAAGAAAATGAATTTAAAATAAGTATAGATAGAAGCTGTAATGTTTTCTTCTTAAGGAGATATATTCTGTATATATCTGGTTTGTTTCCCCAGTTCCTCAGTGTGCATAAACGTCCATCTTGGAAATCATTGTTTTAAGCTGTCCTTGAGCAGAGATGTCTTAGTGCCCACAGGGGTCTCTTCACTAATCAGAATTTAGGGTGGGGTCACAGAATTCCTGGCTATGTTTTGGACAATCATGTGTTGCCTTGTCCTGTTAAATCCCCGCTGTATCTTTTGAGACTTTCCTAAAAGGCCCCCAAACGTCACTCAAAGTTGATAGTATTTAAGATAACATTGCTCCAAATCTCAATTTTTGACTTCTAGATGTTCAGCCAGGAAATTTGTTTAGTTCTTGGAAAATGGTAAATTCTCAGAGGATAGTCCTTCCAGGCCCAGCTTTAAGTGATGCAGCTCAGAATGTTGCTAGGAATCTGAATCGGCTAGCACGCCTTTGAAAATCAGTCCCATAATTATCTGAAGGGCTCCTTTAATTAAACCCATGTTTCAGGACGCTTAATCCAAACTGAAACATTCCAGAAGTGTACTTACCGAAAATAATATATTGTGACCGTTCAAACCCCCTGTGCTTTAAATCAGCAACACTGTAGTGTGTCTTCTGGGATGAGGGTCTTTGTTCCCATATCAGGGCCTCCTTTGAGACGGAGCTTCCCCAAGTATAGTAGCATCTCTTGTCATTTGCTTTATAAAGCATGGTTTGCCTAGAATGTCCTCATGAATCCCCTCTTTCTCATGAAATTCCATGATAAACATTTGTCATCAAATCTACAGTAATTTTCATTTTAATATTCTGAAAATAGTTTTTATTATTGAAATGATTCTTTATCACAGTCCTGTGACTGAGGTCAGGACTTACCTTTGAAGATGCAACAACGAAGACTTCCAGAAAGGCTGCTTGTCTGTGAAGCACGGCATTCTCATTGTTATTTATCCTGGCCGAATATTTGGCGAGTGTAGCCTGCCATTTGTCTCAATTAAGGAGATATATTCTGTATATTTCGTTGCATCACATTTTTAGGATTTAAGAAAAGCAGCTTAATATTTTGAGATTTCAAAAGGCATCACGATAGACGTTTATTTCAAATGAGTATAGAGAAGGAAAGGTTCAGTCAGTATTGAAAATTATGTTTGGCAAATGGTACTGGAGAACATTTAAGATATTTTAGAAATAATTCCTGCTCAATCTTGTATTTGGGACACGTTGTCATTTTCCTTCTGAGTCTGTGAGTGATTAAGATCTTCTTGGCCCGTCTCATTAGACAGAAATTGTTGATCCTGTTAATAAGACATTTTAAAACAGAGTTGTCCAGAGGTTCATAAGCAAAAGAAAAAAGCCATGGAATTGAAAGTGAGTATACACACATACACACACACTCACACACTGAACACACTGACACACATACACTGACACACTCGCACACTAACATTCATACACTCACACTGACACACTGAAACATGCACACTGACACTCACCCTGACACTCCTACACTCATACTGATACACTGACACACACACTAACACTCATACACTCATGTACACTTACACACTCACACACTGACACACAGACACACACACTCACACAGTTTCCATGTAGAACCAGCAGCTGTAGTCACTGGCATCTGTCCTGGACGTGCAGCATTAACTCGTATGGTTTTGCAAGCATCGCAGGTACCACTTTATACGTTTGGCTGCATCCAGCTTTCCATTATTGTTGGCAGGACGTGCCTGGAATTTCTGTGCCGTTCAGGAGGTAATCTGGTGCCAGCTTCTCACAGAGAAAGAGACGAGAAAGAACCTATAACTTAAATAAAACGAGCAGCAGAGTAAAAATTGGCAAGGACACAAAACGTTCTTAAACTCTCAATATCCTGAACAAAAATCAGTTTCAGAAAGGCCCTCCTTTCAAGGCTCCTGCTCTGTGACCCACACCCTCAGAGAATGATCCCTTCCTGTAGCCTCAGTCAGAAGACACTTGGATCACCAAGTACATGAAACATCTCAGAGGCATCTAAGCATGGATTTTTTAAATTAAAAACTGGCTTTGCTCAAAGTAAAGTGAGACAGAAATGGTCTTGGATATATTTTCCATAGAAGCACCTGCTTTGGGTGCAACCACACGTAGAAGGATTTTGGCACAATAAATTGTCTAGCCCATTCAAAGGATGATATTTTGGATATTGTTCATGGCACCTTTTAAAGGCAGTTTTTAGTGTTCTGTCTAGACTTATGTTCCAAGGTCAGCACATAGCCTTAGGATACTGGCTGAAATAAGAGAAGAGACAAGGAAATCCAAATTAAAACCTCACCCTTTTGAGTGGTGCTGTGGCCTGAGACTACAGGGCGTTTCAGAGAGCATCTTTTTTTTAAAATTATTTATTTATTTGGGAGGCAGAATATGGAGAGAGAGAGAGAAGGAGAGCCAGAAAGAGAGAGAGAGAGAGAGAGAGAGAGAGATCTTTCATCCTCTGGTTCCCTCCCCAAGGGGTCACAAGGGCCAGGGCTGGGTCAGATGAAGCTGAGAGCCTGGAGCTTCTTCCAGGTCTCCCATGTGTGTACAGGGGCCCAAGCCCTTGGGCCATCTTCTGTTGCTGTATCAGGCATATTATCAGGGAGCTGGATTGGAAGTGGAGCACATACGGGGTACTGGCACTTCAGGCTAAGGCTTAACTCACTGTACCACAACACCAGGTCCAAAGAGCATCATTTTAAGAGGCCAAATAATGTCAGTCTCAGGCAAATGCATGGCTTTCTCAACCAGTATTATTACTGTAACTTCATACACTTTAAGATCTAGAATCATCATCATCTCATCATTATTTTTTGCCAAGAATATTGCCTTTGATGTTTGAAATATAGGAAGGTAATTTGGATAATTTTATAAAATTATCACAGCTATCCTTTGTGTGAGATATGTCTATATTTTTTGGCAATGCTAAATATCTTTTCAGACTAGCTATTCTAATTCACCAATATTTAGAACAACCTTGTCAAACATGTGTCACTCTATAGGATGTTTAAGAAACTAAGGAGAACCAGGTCCCCTGACACTTGGCGTCCTGTGACTGAGTGAGTCCTAGGCGTCCCGCCTTGATCCTGCGTCCAAGAGCTGGGCTTCAGGTCAGTACTGTGTAACCAGTACGGCAGTGCTCTGTGTAGCACGGTCAGCAGTTGAAAGGTTGGGTCTTGGGGTTGTCCTTCTGTGAGTGTCTTTGTTCATGTCTTACAGGTTTGAACATGAAAAGCAAAATTTAAATCATAAATGCTTGTATCTTTAAGAGCCATTCAATGGAAGTTACTTCCTTGATTTTATACCAAACATTTATGAACTATACTACAAGAACTGTCCATATGCTTTTTTTTTAAAGATTTATTTATTTATTTGAAAGACAAAGAGAGGCAGAGAGAGAAAAAAAAGAGATCTTCCATCCTTTGATTCACTCTGCAAATGGCAACAATGGCTGGAGTTGGGCCAATCTGAAGCCAGGAGCCAGGAGCTTCTTCCAGGTCTCCCATATGGGTGCAACGGCCCAAGGACTTGGGCCATCTTCCACTGCTTTCTCTTGCCTTAGCAGAGAGCTGGATGGGAATTGGAGCAGCCGGGACTTGAACTGGCGCCCATATGGGATGCTGGCATTGCAGGCGGCAGTTTTATCCTCTACGCCATGGTGCCAGCCCCCATATACTTTACTTTTTACATAATTAAACCCTTGCTCCAACCTATTCTATATGTGAAGGGACTTAGAGTTATTGAGTAACGTGACCAAGAACTCCCAGGTACTGAAGGCTGGGTCAAGACTTAAATCCAAATCTGACACAAACAACAATGCTTTTGAACCATGTGCCTGTGCTGTGGCTATTATTTTTCGCATGACATTACCTCCAGTACAGGTGTCGTATGTGCGTATATTCTAGGAATACGGAGCATGATTTCCATCAGGTTCTCAAGTTTATCTATGGCTCAACACTAGTTAGGTACTCTGATAGAGAAGTGTTGCAGTAACTAGCAAAGAACGCCTCTCCTACTCTCAGTGAATGAGTCAGACACGTCAAAGTCTTTTTAAGAGCATGTAATATGTGAACAAATTTCAAAAAGTTCATGAAAAATGGTATTAAATGATGCACAATTTTGGGGCAAAATTTTTGCAATCTATGCATGCAAGGGATCTTCAAAAATTCATAGAAAATGTGTATTATAACAAAATATTTATGGATTTTAACATGTTTTTGACCTCAAATAAGCATCTTTCAATGAAATTTTTGAAGTATTTCCACATATGAAAACTAGGCATTAACATATATATATATACACACATACACATTTATATATATAAGAAAAACGTAGGTGTGCTGTTACTTGTGTTTAAACCAATAACATTTTATAGATTGTAACAATTATGATTATTCTTAAAATTTTAGGTTGTATGTCATCTTAGATACTGGAAAGAAATGGTCCCAAATTAGAAGTGATGGAAAATATGTACTTTATATGCAAAATATGTTTTGTCTTATATACAATAAGATAATGAGAAAATTGTGATTCTTGTATACTGAGACATAACACTGCACAAAGAGCAAATTGACTAAACTAAAGAAAATAAATGATAAACCGTGAATGTTTCTATGGTAATACAAATGTGTCAAAAATAGTATTATTTTCAAAAAAGAAAATAAGGAGAAGAGAGAAGGTTAAAGGGTGCCTTAAGATGTGTAGAAATGATCCTATTGAAGTTTATTAAGAGTAATAAAATGCTGTTTTACGGATTTTGTCAATTATTAAGTTACATTTCTTGTGCAATCTACTTCTTTTACTTTTGTGAATAAGCATGTTGAAATCTCCCATTCTCTCAATAAATCTCAACATTGACCTATCTTTTCTTTTCTTTTTTTTTTAAGGTTTCTTTATTTGTTATTTATTTGAAAGGCAGAGGTACAGAGAGACAGAGGCAGAGAGAAAGAGAAGTCTTCTATCCCCTAGTTCACTTCCCAGGTGGCAGTAATGACCAGGGCTGGGCCAGGCAGAAGCCAGGAGCCACGAGATTCATCTGGTGCTCCCACATGGGTGCAGGGGCCCAATGACTTGGGCCGTCTACCCCTGCTTTCCCAGGTGCATTAGCAGGGAGCTGGATAGGAAGTGGAGTGGCTGGACTTGAATTGGCCCTCCTGTGGAATGCTGCTGCAGGAAACGCTGTGACTTTATCCAGTCCGCCACAGTGCTGGCCACTTTTTTCATTCATTTCCATTATGTGCCTAACTCAGTGCAATGCTCTTGGCTAGGGTTATTGATAACCTTCTCATTGCTGCCTTCTGTTGATTTTCAGACCTTGTCTGAAAGCCTCATGCTTCTCAGTGTGCTCACGTTAGAACTCTCCCATTTCGTTCTGTGGCACTGCCCTTCCCTGGTGCTTCCTCCCAGTGGCTCTTGGCTGTACTTTACTGTGTCCTGTGCTCCTGTTCTTTGGCCAACTCCTTAAGTGGTGCTGTTCCTCAGGATTCTGTGACTGAACTTTGTCTTTTCTCTTTCAATATCTCATATATCATTCCAAACATAGGCTTCAACCACCATTTATATCATGAAAATGCTTTTTGTTAGAGTCTCCTTTTATGGTAAAAAGGGGTCCAGGCATCAAGAGGACACAAGAGTCACAAATATTTATTCACACTGTATCAGAGCTTCAGTATACAGAAGATGAAAACTGATAGAACTGTAAACAGAAATAGACAAATCATGTTTGGTTGCAGATTTTGGTATTTCTTTCTTGGTAACCAATTGAAGCAGTAGATAGACTGTAAGTATGTAAGATTTCCATCAGCTGTACCTAGACGTTGACATTTACCAGACACACAAGTCAATGTGGGCAGATCCACGTTCTTTTCAAGTGCATATCAAAGTGCCCCAAGATTGCTTCATAATAAAACATACCTCATTAACTTAGGAGGATTGAATCCTACAGAGAATGTTATCTGACTGAGAAATCAATAACAAAGAAATTTGAAAAATCATCAAATAAATGGAAAATAAGCAACAGACCTTTAAACAGCTCAGGAGCAAAGGTGAAATCACAATATGAATGAAAAAGTGTTTTGAATAGAATGAAAATAAAAATACATCACAATTCATGGATTGTGGATAA